GGGACCCTCTCTGGTGTTTGCTCTGTGTCCTGGACAGATTGCTTCTTGTTAGTGTGGTGTTCAGTGAGGAAGTGTGAGTTCTTTGCTTCACACGGGAATTTCCCTTCTACATATAGACTTGAGTAGGTGAATCAAAGTGAATAACAGAAAACCCTAACCAGGAAATAAGATGATTTTTACTATGGATGTCAATACTATAAAGCAGATGTGCAGTGGAAGCGGGCAGAACATATTATATGACAGAATAGCAGTTACGCAGAGTTGGAGATTGGAAGGATAAAGCAACACAAGAGAAAGACCATGTTGGAGAGAACAGGCAGGGAAAATGTAGTCCTCAGATATTTTTAGTGTTCAGGAAAAGGTGTAGGATGTAGTAAGTTTTTAGGAATTTGTAGCAACTGGACCAGAACCATCATAAGAGAAGACCTAGGCATTGAGCAAATTTAATATCTGAGGCAGACTTTAAGTACCAGTGATACCATAAGAGGATTAAAGAGAACAAGAAAACCAAGATCTAACTGCCATTCATGAGTAAAAGTGAAAAGAAACTTGCTGTGCCTGACAGGAAATCGTATCTAAATTCACAGCAGGGACAGATTAGTAAAAAGTAACTGTGTATAGTTTTTTTCCCCCTTTCTTCATAAATGCATTATAGGCTTAGCTATAGGGCCATATTATGACTAGTGTAATCATAAGTCATTTTTGTTTAAAGAACACATTTGAATGATACTCCTCATTTATCATTAAGGAAGAAAACACTGAATATATGTGGAATATGTGGCCACTGGGTCACAGGATGAATTTCAGGCTTTGCTTATTTATGCCTGGTAGAAATAATAGGAGATTACATGTTTGGTTAATTGAAAAGGAGTTTCCCAAGATGTAGAAGACAGAACACCGGTACTGACACCTAACTGAACTGATGAAGCTCCATCTGAGAATTCAAGTCAAGAGCATAGCCATTTTAAAACAAAAAAGTGTTTAATGTCATTAGGATTTTAAATTAATCTACTATGCAGCATACTTTACATATCCAAATATATAGTTCTCTGAACAAAATGGCATTGCCATACCCAAAATGCCAGCAATTAATCTTGTACACTGATCTATGGTTCAACATTCATAACAATAAACATTCACACAGAAAACCCTCTGGATTTTCTGTTTTGGTTTCTGTTTTAGAATATACCTCAGTAACTGAAAAATTTAGGCAGTGAAAACTATCAGCAACCGGTCCATAACTACTAATTTCTCCTTTCAAATACTTTGTATTTTGATTTTTAAGTATAGGTATGTGTTTTAACTAACTTAAAACTAGTGAATCAAAGTACAATATCTATACATTTATTTAGAAGGAACCTCTGGAAAAAGGGGAGAGATTTTTGAAATATGATCATTGTGTTAGGATGTTTGGCTCTATGGGCTGTTGTATTTATAATATGTTTCCTTAGTAACACTTCTGAAAAAAAATCACTAAGTGTTAGATATTTCTGGGCATTTTTGATATAGCATTCTTTACCAGTTAATCATTATGAACTCAATTAAACATTATTGACTATCCCATTATTATATCTATTGAATTTTCATTGCATTTTTTCATCTAGTAACTAGGGCATTCATTTAAAAAGAGTATCATCTGCTCTATATTAAATTCAACAAATTAAAACAGAGCTGCTTTAAAAATATCTTTAATATCTTAATTAAGAAAAGTCTTT